GAATCCGGAGGAGACCCAACCTGTGCGATCTAATTGGTCTGAGAGAGGTAATCGGCAGGAGGTGGTCTCTCAGGTACCCGGTATCTTATTACCAGGCTGTGATAGGGAAGCCATGCAAGCTCTCCAGGGGTTTCATGGGGAACTTCCAGAGAGGCTGTTATGCTTCCAGGTGCCTTGGGGGGAATGGGAACATGCACACCTGTCAGCACCTGTCTTTTCCTACAGGAGTTGCCCAAGCCAAGGAAAACACCCCTTTGAGGCCAGGGGCTGCTTCAGGGCAAGTATCAGCACACACGGCTGGGGCCCCACCTCAGACCCATTTTGCTAGAATCAGGTGTCTTTCTTGAAGGACATCCTTGGCAGCTGCTTTGTGGCCTCAGCTGGCAGCAGAGTCTCCGGTAGGGATCCTAAGCAACCTTGGCAGACAAATGCCAGCTTTTTCCTAATGCTGGTGATCAGTGCCCTCACCTCCAAAAGGTTCATATGAATGGCGCATATGATTCACAGCATCCTCCTATTAGGGTCATAGTTTTCCCTCTAGTTCCCTCAACAAGATTAGGGTGTCTTCTAGTGTAAAACACACACATACACAGTGTTTTGGAATGTCCACTCCACAGTGCCCTACTTCACTCTGGGCCAGTGTTTCTCAACTGTTTCAACTTTAGTGTTGCTTTTCAGTCCATACAAGACACTCAATTTTTCCAGTGTGCTCAAAAAAGATCAAAGTGTAATGGGTTAAAGTTTTAGACCAGTGAAATGCAAGAATAAATCAACCAGGCTGAATTAGTAAACTATTAATTTTTCATTCAAGTGCTTTAGGGCTTGTATAACTTGCTAGGTACATTTGGAGGAAGCTACCTGGGGGTCAAGTAGGAATTGCCAGCAAGTCTCTTTTCTCTCCTTCCAGGCAGTGCTGGTCCCTCCCTGGGGGAGGGAATTCCTGGGGGTGGGGAGGGAAGCATGTTTGCATTTGCTACAATAGTGGCAAATTTATGATTTCATGCCTTGAGAAAGTGTTGGGACTTCATGTATGTAGTTGGAATTTAAGATCCTGTTATGTTGTCTTAGGGACCAAATCCCTCTAAAAAATTCAGCTGGAAGCTTGTCCAATTTCCTCTAGAAGTTGTGTTTACATTGATAATGTGAGTCCCACCATCGAGTTTTCTCCAGGGTTACCCTAGGCAACTCCAGGGGCTGGAGTGCACCAGCCACAGTGAGTATAACCGCCTCAAGGGTTGCTTCATCTTAGGAGTGATCAGTGGAATCTTGGTGACTCCAGGAGGCTCAGATGTTCCCAAAGTGACACCGGATCTTTTTCTTCCTTTTATGCATGAACAGGAATCATACATGCAGGGTCCCACATCCAACCGTAGATCACATCGTGACTGGCTGTGAGCTTAGGGCCTATAGCGGCCCAGCATCTGGTTTTAAAAAAAAATATAAACGATGCTGCACTTCAATGGTTACATGGCTTAGAGACTGTATTTGAACATAGATCTTTTAAACATTTTATTGTGTTTTACTAATATAGGTGAAGTGTGTGTGTGCGCGCGTGCGCTAGTCCATGTATGATATGCAGCACGCTAAATAAATGAACAATAAATTGAAATTTGTGAATAGGGCTTATCTGATGGGACACTGAATGGTGGCTAAGCTTTCATGTGTTGACTTGGCTTTGGGGAGGCCATAGGACAGTCTTTCTTCTCCCAATTTGTCTGGCTAATTGTAGTCCATTCCTCTAGAATGCAATAGAAGCTCCTGGTGTGGAAACTAGTTTCTGCCTGACAACTGTGACCTTCAAAAATACAGGTCGATCCTTGGTCAGTAGAGCAGAATCCAAATACCAACAGAATGAGGGGAGAATCACAGAGAGACAAAACGGATGAGGAAACGCTGTATAAAATTGGCTCTTGATTTCCTTATCATTTCATTGTTAAAGACATGGGAGGGGGAGAGTTTTGTCATTGGGTGTCTTTGGATAACACATTTACCCATTAATTTAATCACGGTTTATTCAAACCAGTTTCCTAGGTTTACATAACACACTGAACCACAAACTAATCCCATGGGCTGGATTGGCACAAAATTGCATCACCTGCGACATCTTTCAGTGTCTGTATTTCCAGCAGGAGGAAGTCATTTAGCAACAGCCAGAGGTTGTGCGTTATTCATTCATGTAATATTAAAACATTGTCAGCTATTTTGCAATTCAGTGTTTTGTAAAACACTGGCTGTTTTAAAGTCAAGCAGAGTCAAGGAAAATAATTCTTGGAGCCACTTCACAAAACTGAGGACCTAGAAAAATAGAAGGGATTGGAAGAACTGGAGGGATTTGATGTTGCTACTTCTTGGAAAGAAATGAGCCCCTCGGCTTGGTTCCATTTGAGACATTCGTTTCTGAAGCACAAGATTATCACTTTTCAGAAAAGCATAGGTTTATAATTAAAACAAATTAATGCTTAAATTATACAATCTCTTCCATACCTACATGCCTGCATGTAAAATTGGCCTGGATATCAAAGTAATCCTCTTGCAGATCTCCAACACACACTGTCTTCCTTTTATCTAGCTTCATCAATTCAATAGGGACAGAACAACTATATATAAATCAAAAATGCCAGAAAGAGCAGTCAAGCAGAAGAGATTGGCCCATTTCTTCGGTGGGATGGCTTTGCCCATTCCTGCAGCTCTGGATATTATGGAATAACAATGCAAGGGGGAAACTGCAGCCTTTCAGTAATCGTACTGCTTTAAAGAAATCAATAATATAAATAAATAAAAGCCCTTAAAACTTTAATTTTCAAGACATGCCTCAAGTTCACAAAACAACACTGTGGCCTTCCTTAAACCGGTTATGACTTTTAGTGACTCAAATAAGCTTTATTAACACTCCCAATCTTTACAACCCCATTGGGCCGGCTGTTAATATACTACTGGGCCCTATAAGCAGGACTTGGAGAGCCTACAATACTTGTCTGAGGATTCAGAACAGAGGGAAAGGTGTAAGTTCCTTCCATTGTAGTCCAAATACTTAGTTGGCACTCTAGGGAACTTGGGGAGGACTCCCCCTTATTCTGTGAGTGAATATCTTGATGCCTAATCTCGAGCAAGCCGAGTAGAAAAGAAGGATACTGCAGGCAAGGCGTAGGAGACTCCTGGGCCAATGTGAACCATTTCTCTGCAAGATGACAACTGGGGGTGGTTCAGTTCTGATGAACAAACCTTGTACCCTAACACTTTCTGTCTTCACAATCTTTTCTCCTGTCTTTTTATAAGGGAGTAACCTACAACAGTTACCTTAGAAGAATAAACATATGACTGGCTGATGGAATGAGAAAGCTTCAGTCTAGACTTTCATTATAGGGTTATTGAATATTGGTTGCCTCAAATAACAGTAATAAAAATACCATCACATTTAGCTTTGATTTTTTTTTAAAAAAATCTTACTTAAATGATCCCCCTATTTAGAACCCTTACTTCACTGAGGTGCTCTTCAGAAGGGACCTTTGGTTGATGAATCTTCTCCTTCAACTGACACAAAGACAGGCGATGCTTTTTGTCCCTGGATTTACAGACAGCTTGATCCTCCATCAGCTTGTCTGAAAGCCCCTTTCCATGGTAGAAAGTTGGGAGAAAAAATCCAGTTTTGGCAAAAGGAGGACTGAGGAACAAATATATGGGCACCTCAGCAAAAAGGGTTATGTATCTCGTCTTCATATACTGAAGTACATCACCATCCAAACTAGGACAGCAGAACAGAGTTCTAACTTCTAAACTTCTGAAAGGAAAAGCAATATGGGATTCCTTTTAAATATTTCCTGGAATGAGAGATGCTGAGATAGTCAGACACCACAATCCGGCCACTCTCGGGATGGGTTCTTTCCCAGTGTTAAAATAGCTGAATTGTACAACTTGGGGATCAAAGCAGCTACGGAGCCTCATGCTTCTGTAGTGATAGTCCCCATTACTTACCCAAAGCATGGGAAACTGTGGGCAAAGCTCCTCATTTCCTATTAATAATCTCTCTGAACAAAACCAGAATTTCAGTTTAGCTTCCTGGTTTCTCGCTCATTAGCCAGAGTTGAACTTTTTAGCCTTCCAAGTCACTTCTGAACATCTAGGAAAAAGTGGCTTTGAATTAACAAGACAAAACTTATGCTGTATGATGGTATGGGACCAATACGGACATTGTTTCTGACAAATATGAAACACAAAGAGATCCTTTCCTGTGTGAGGATTCTGGGCTTAATCCCTATTTCTGACTGCCAGGGTTGACTCTTTTCCAGCATTACAATCCATGAATGATGCCTGTCAATCTTAAAACAAACTGTTGGAATTTCTGAAAAATATAAAATGGTCCCTCAATCACCATTGTACAAGTCATTAAAACATCTTATCAAAACATTTCTCTTTCCCAGCAAAAACAGGATGGCAGTGAAAAAAATATTTTCCATAAGCAAAGTCTTTCCAAAGTCCCAACCAAGAAAGAGCAGAGAGGCCCAATCCTGCCCTCCCAATTCCCGCCAGCGGATCCAAGGACTGTTTAGCAGCTGGGAGGGGGGAGGACGGCTTTGGCCCAACTGCAGAGAAACCCACCATCGGCTTATGTCCTTATGCTGCTGCAGTTGGGTTAAAACTGGGCACGAGGCCTTTATGAAAGGGGCAATTTTGCAGATTATCTTCTCCAGTCTTTACAACGCCTGAAGACCTCAGCACCTTCTCCACACACCTCCCATCCTTCGTGGAAAAGGAGAAGGCCTTAAGAGCTGGCCATCACCTCCTTCTCCTCCACATTCTGGCCTTTATTCTCTTCTAAATGATTAGATGATGCACCTTCAGTAAAACTTTCCACCAAAAGAGAGTCAAAGGATAAAAGGCAAGGAAAAGATTTTTTTTAATGTCCTGATTGTGCATGAAGCTCCTAATTTATTTACTTATTAAAAAGAAATGTTTAAATTGAGTTCTAAATTTGCAAGTAATGGCCATGACGGTTGAACATCCTTGTGGCACTCCACTCAAATCCACAACAGTGGTCATCAAAGAAAAATCCTTCTGCTCTTCAAAGGCGTCCAAGAAGAAAAGACACCCAGAACTTCCCAAGCGTCAGATGAATTCCACTGCAAAAATCCTCCCAGGAATTCCTTCGGGGACCCATTCCTTCCCAAGGCAGCTTGCTTTCCTCTGTTGCTCTTTTCCTGATCTGGTGAAAGGAATCTTTCCCTGAAGACAATAATCTTCCCCCAGTGGCTTCTTGGTCAACAGAGAGGGGGAGAGAGGGAGGGCTTTCTCTCCTTCCCAAGGAGATGGAAAGGCTGGAAGGTCAGAGGAAGGGACGGGTGGATGGATGGATGGAGCTTTTGGCTTCTACACCTCAGTGGAGAAGAGGATACTCTGCCTCTTGCTGTCCGGGGTGGGAATTGTCTCCAGTTGCAGGAAATAGAGGAGAACCTGAACCTGGAACACAGACAAGAGAAGGGAGGGGAACAGATCAATTGGTGAGGGGGAGGGGCAACAGCAATAGAGGCGGTGACCAGGAGAGCCTGGCGATTTTCCAACTCTGCAGGTGTTCAAAAGACTCGACAACCACTTGCAAGGATAGTTTAATTGACTTTCCTGTACATGTAGTCCTCTACTTACGACCACAATTGGGACCAGAATTTCTGTTGCTAAGCAAAGCTAAGTGACTCACACCTGATTTTACAACCTTTTTTTTGCTGCAGTCATTAAGCAATCACCCTGCTTGTTAAAAATGAATCATGCCGGGGTTCAGTGAATCCAGCACTGACTTTCTCAAGGAGAGAAACAGCCTCAAACTAAGAAGGAATTAATTGCCTGGGAGGGAAAGCAATTAATCAATGGGACAGCTGGACTCTGGGAGTTGTGGATATTCCATCACTGGAAGCTTTCAAGAAGAGACTGGACAGGCATTTGTCCAGAATGGTATAGTCTCCTGCTTGAGCAGGGCGTTGGACTAGAAGACCCCCAAGGTCCCTTCCAATTGTTACTCTGTTGTTCTTTGCTTCTCTGAAGCTGGCTGGGCAAGTTGCAAAAGAAGATCACATGACCCTGGGAACCTACAATCGTTGTAAATACATGTTGGATGCCTAGCACCTGAATAGTAATAGCACTTAGACGCTTCACAGTTCCTTACAGCGCCCTCTAAGCAGTTTACAGAGTCAGCCTCTTGTGCTCAACAGTCTGGGTCCTCATTTTACTGACCTGGGAAGGAGGGAAGGAGGGAAGGCTGAGTCAACCTTGAGCATTTCTTTGCTCCCAGAACTTACTTTCTCTGGTTTCAATATTCTCCTCCCTCCCCTGGTCATTTACAGCAGAGTTCCTCAATGTTTCTGGCTTTGCGGACCGGCCGGAGTGGGTGAGTAGTGCAAATGTGCAGCCTGCAAATGTGCACACATGAAGCTCCATTTCCACAAGTGGCGTGCCGCCTGCCTGCCATTCATGCAAATGGAATGCACATGCATGCGCTCCCCTGCTGCTCGTGCAAGGATGTGCGTGTGCACATGCTCACCAGCCGTTTGCACAGTCCAGTTGCAAACCCCCTCATGGCGCACTAGTGGGCTGATTTACAGTTCTTTTCAGTTATTTCCCTCCCTAGTGCGCATCTCCAGAAAAGAATCTTTTCTGAATTCTAAATTCAAAGGAATGAAATAAAGGAAACGGATCAAATCTTTTGGGCTGCTTCGTTGGAAATCAGGCCAGAAGGGGTCCATGTTCAAATCTTCTTTGATCAACTAGTTGTTCGATGGCTGTGGACAAGCCGCTATCCTTTCTCCTTTCCCTTTTCTGAGCTCCTTCTAAGAAGGGTGGGATGTAAAATGGCTGTGCAACTGAGATCTTCTGACATGGAAGGTTCATTTTCCCTGCTTCCCCAGAGGGTTATGGGAATCAGCTAGAAAGGGGTCATCTAAATCGGATGTGTCAAACACACGGCCTGTGGGCTGGAACTGACCAGCGATGGGGCCAGAGTTGTCCCGCGGGGCCGTCCTGGAGACGGCGAGGGACCAGCCCATGCTGCTCCCCCCAGACCACCCCACCCCCAGTTGGCAGCAACGACCAGGCCAGCCTCCCCCAAGGCAAACAAAATTCTAATGCGGCCTACAATGGGATCTAAATCCTTTCCTCCCACTATGGGTTATGGGCTCTTCCCTCATTTTCCCTTTGATCCCTGTGGGTCCCAAGAGAAATCTGGGTCCCTGTGAAACCCTGCGTTTTGTTGATCAGCTGACATTAAGGATCGAAGCTTCCTTAGGCCAGAGCTTCTCAATCATGGCAACCTGAAGAAGTGCGGACTTCAATTCCATCTGCTGCCTGGGAGAATTCTGGGAGTTGGAGTCCACACAAGCTGTCAAGGTTGAGAAACATTGACTTAGACACCCCATTTGCTTTTTACCTGGGACATGACTTCGAGTGACCAGCTGTCAGTCATGGCCATGGGTTGCATTGGATTGGCAGGAATTTTGCTGTCTTTTTCTGACGGTCTGAGTAATGTTGGTCCAAAAACGGTGGCCAGGTTGTGAAGCGACATCTTGTTGATGTTCTCCTTTTCAGCAACTCTGAAACAATAGATAGGATAGGAAGAGAAAAGAAAGTTATGATCCAACACAGTGGTATTCAAACTGGGGGAAATGACTCCCAAGGAGCCTATCCTGGGGGCAATGGAGCAATTTGTAATGACTTGTTTGTGAATCATGGCTCAGTTTTGGACACCGATATAAAATTAGAAAGTCTGGTTGTTTGTGAGAGTGAAAATATGATTCACAATTGGGAAAAGGGATAATTAGGCGAGGCAGTTTAAAAGAAACACTATCCTAACTTATACATCTTGTCAGGTCAGGACCAAATGGGAAACAGTGGTCTTGAACAGGCAGATTTGATCTCACATGTTCTGTTACTGATCCAAATATGTCCAAAATGCCAGGAGAATTTCTGCAAATCCCCACTTTGAAAAGAAGGAATCCAGAGTGGATTTTTAAAAAATCCTTTGGCAAAAAAAGAAATAACCTTTTTGCTCGTTTGTCAGAACGGAGGCCTTTAAAAACCTTTTACTGAGATGCAACGTAGTCTGAATGTTGTTTGTTCAGATATTTCTATATTTTCAAACCAACAGCCTAACTACCAACTCAAGCTGTTAATATTCAAATATTCAATATTTCAACTACCAGAAATCACAAAAATTCATTGGCATTAAAATGTCCAATGAATAAAAGCTACTCTGCATCCAGGATGGTATACATCACAGAAATCTCCATCAATCTGTGTTGCCCATCCTCTGGACCCACCTGCTCAGGTAGGGATGGAACCAAAGAATCATCCTGCCCCCAATTGCCCACCTTCGCAGCAGCTCAGGAGACAACTTTGGTCACATGTCATTGAAAGAGCCAAGATGCAGAGGCCTGCGCCAACTCCATCCAAAGATTGCCACAGGACAGTCCCCAGGGTAGCCTCTGCCCCATGCCCAGGTCTGAACTCCCAGGAGCCCAGAGAATCCATAACCTCCTGCTACTGTCTCCCTCCCCAAAAGGGAAGGTCAGAGCTGTCCTTGCCCCCCCCCCCCCCGCTCAGCAAGAGGGATGGATTGGGGGGAGGAAGGCTGCTCTGCCAAAGATGCCCTGCCTGCCTGCATGGCCTCAGCCCGTATTCTCTTCTGGGCTCTTGGATCCCCCATGGCTGCCAAGGGAAACTTAAGCTTTTCCCTGGAAGGAAAAGCTGGAGACTGAAAGGGGGGGGGGGACTCTTCCAGGCTTTTGCAGCTTGAGATGAAGGACCAAAATCACAGAGGTTGTTGTTGTTGTTGTTGTTGTTATTTAAAAGGGGGAGTTGGGTAAACAGCCCTGAAGCGCCCCCAGTCCTCCTGCCAGGATGCTTGAGTGAAAACGTTCAGTGGCTGCTACTTTTTTCCTGCAGGGCCAGGCAGGGCTCGGGAGGAAAGAGGCTCCAGCCCAGAGGCCCTGCACACCACACAAGGACCCTGCCCCACTTTTTTCTACAATCAGTCACGTAGACCGATGTTCCAGAACGTCCCTTGACAATGATGGCTGGGAAGGCTGGAGGAAAGGAGCTTCGGCCTCACCTTTTCAAATGATCCAAGAGGAAAAGGAAGGTGACCAGGTTGGGCTCCGGAAGCGAAAGCAGCAAATTCAGCATACAGCTTTCTTTTGCAACCGGGTCAGACAACACTAGTGCCAGAGGACGAGAAAAAGGTTCACAAGGTTTACAAGTGCAGATACAGCTAATAATGCTCACTCTGCCTCCCCTGAGTAGCGAGCTAAGGTAAAATAGGAGAGTTAAGGAGGCATCTCTCTGAGGTTCAGAAAAGGGAGCTACTGGAGGGAGCCTCTGCCAGGGGGAGACCAGGCCGAAGACACCAAGCCTAAAAGGGGTGGAGGCACGGCAGCAAGGTGGACAAAAGTCAGGAAAATCTCCCTCAGGGAAGGAACCAAGTTGTTAAGGGAACAAAAGGACAAAGTTGGGTCTGAGCACATGGCAAGACCAAGACCTCCCCACCAAATAAAAGCAAGGGCTTTCAGGGATAAAAGGGGTCCCTGAAGCCTCCCTAGCCTTTCTGAGTCATTTTTTGGATCCCAGGCATGAGTCCCTCTGGCTTGTGCCTAGCAGCCTAGTTGTGAACATTGGGTAAATGTGGGAGAGAGACAGAGTGAGTGTGTGTGTGTGTGTGTAAAAGCAAATAGATATACTTTATAATCTGTAAAAGTTTGCTGTTATTTTAAATTCAATGGTTTTCCATGCATTCTAAAGAATGCATGCGTCACTGTTCAATGTTCAGTTGTGAAGTGAGTTCAGTGTGGCAATTTTCCAGGGCTGTGTGTGACCGTAATCTGAACCTGAAAGCAGTAACACCAGTCTCTTCCCACTGCTAGCTAACCATGAAGCAGCCGCCGCCGCCCAGTTCTTCCTCCTTGCACCTGCATAACGCCACTACATACCAATGCCTTCAGCAAAGTTGGGATAGAGTTCATCTGTGAAGAGAGGCTCTGGCAGCTCCCTAAAGTAGAGCTTGAGTGTTCCTGCAATCGCGTTCACATCCATCTCACTCATCATGATGGAGACATCTTTGTTATCTGCAGGAAGGAAAGAAAGTCCTTTACTTAGGCAGGATTATTACCAGCTCCAGCTCACAAATTTGTTCTCTGACATCAGTCACAACAGCAGGAATTTTCCAAATCTGTGAGAAACATAATCTGTGGATTTACATCCCCTTCTCTCTTTTGTGCAACTGTTAAGAACTAATCAACTCCTCCATGATTAAGAAATGGCGATTGCCAGAGATTATGATTGCTTCCAAAAGACCGTTGTACTTACCTGAACGGTCGTTCCCCTGTGCGAGAATCCAAAGGAATGGGTTAGTATTGGTCTGCTTGCCTAGAGACTGAATTGAATAAACATGGCCACACCTCCCATTTTCACTCGGCTCCTCCTTTTTTTCAATGGAAGGCATGGCTCTTTCGAGAGATGAAAGCACATGAAATGCCCTCCTAGCCTCGAAACCCCCCTGCCCCTACTACTCTGGACCAAAGCGCAAAAAAAGGGCGGGGTTGGATTCTCATGCAGCGCACCGACCTTTCAAGTAAGTACAACTGTCTTTCTCCAGTGTGCTGCTTAGAGAATCCAAAGGAATGGGATATGCCTGAGCATATTGACCTAAGGGCGGGTACCGCTTGCAGTACCTGACATCCAAAGGCTGCTTCAGCTGAAGCATAAATGTCCAGTTTGTAATGTTTAATGAAGGGCGACGGAGATGACCACGTTGCCGCCCTACAAATCTCAACAGAGGCTTGCATGGCCCAGGCCGTGGTAGTGGCCATACTATGTGTTGAGTGGGCTGTGACGTGATGGGGTGCTGGGCGGCCCTGCACTTCATACGCCTTGGCGATACAGGCCTTTAGCCACCATCCAATAGTTGTGGAGGATACCTTCTGACCGTTGGATTCAGGAAGAAAGGCGACGAAGAGGGCTTCCGATTGTCAAAAGGATGCTGTGCGTTTGATGTAGCGTCGGAAAGCCGGTCGCACGTCAAGATGATGCTATTTTTACTTGCGAGGGTGCGCCGGCCAGTGGCAAATGGTAACACCAATTACTGGGCCCTGTGAAAACAGGAGTTGACCCTCGGAAGAAAGGAAGGGTCCAGCCAGAGGACCACTCTGCTAGGATGAAAAATGCAGAGGTTGCTGTGGACAGACTGGGCAGCCAATTCCGAGACCCTGCGCGCTCAGGTTATGGCCACAAGAAAGGCCACCTTCAAGGTCAATAGACGGGGGCTGATGGAACGAATAGGTTCGTAGGGCGCAGATATCAAGGCTTCAAGCACGATGGGAAGTTCCCTAGATGGGTAACTGTTCTGTCCCCCCTTCTCCGCTTGTTAACAGACTACAGGCAGACAAACTTAAAAGGAAAGAACTTTATCAGTTCTCAGGTCAGACTGGCTGCGAGCCCAAAAATAACCATAAATCAAGTCTCTGACAAGAATGCAAAACAAAACTCTTACAAAGCAATGCACTTCTCCAAGTGTATCCTTGAATCAGGGTTACAGAAAACAAATCACTTCTCCAAGTGTA